GTGTCTGTAATATATTCTCTAGAGAGACCGGATTGTTAAAATGTATTTTTAAAAACAGTTTGTCGGGCTTCCCTGGTGGTGCAGTGGTTGAGAGTCTGCCTGCCAATGCAGGGGACACGGGTTCGTGCCCCGGTCCAGGAGGATCCCACATGCCGCGCAGCGGCTGGGCCCGTGAGCCATGGCCGCTGAGCCTGCGCATCTGGAGCCTGTGCTCCGCAACGGGAGAGGCCACAACAGTGAGAGGCCCGCGTACCGCAAAAAAAAAAAAAAAAAAAAAAAAGAGTTTGTCTACTTGTGTGAGAAGAGGGAACTGCTTAGCAGTACAGAGAACTGGCAAGAGAAACAGTAATAATGGCTAACACTGAACAAGACCATCACTGTGAGCTCTCTCTACGTCACACTTGAACCCCACCACCACCCTGAGGTAGGTCCTACTATCATCCTCATTTTGCAGGTGTGGAAATGGGACCCAGAAGGAGAAAGGACCCGCTTGAGGTGCCACATCTAGTGTAAGGAAGAGCCTGGAGACCAGGCAGTGTGACCCCAGAGCCCACGGTGTAACTGCGAGGACGAGATGGTGCGCTACCACGTTGCCCCTCCAGCAGTTTATAAAGCAGATACAGGGCAACAGGTCAGCAGTATTCTCTTGTCTGGTAAAGATTTTAAACATGGCGAATGATATTTCTAGGTAACAAATACATATGACAAACCAGTAGTTTGGAAGTGGTGTCCACCTCAGTTGTCTTTTTCCAACTCTCCCTCATTACATCTTCTCCCCACGGCCCTGACAGGGACAACTGAAAACTTGCTTGTCACGCTTGACTTCTCCCTTTCTCCCACACAATTCATCAGCGAATCTGCTTAATCAGTTCCTTTTTAAAAATTTTTAATTAATTAATTTGTTGGCTGAGTTGGGTCTTCGTTGCTGCACGCGGGCTTTCTCCAGTTGCAGCGGGGGCTACTCTTTGCTGCAGTGCGTGGGCCTCCCAGCGCAGTGGCTTCTCCTGTTGTGGAGCACGGGCTCCAGGCATGCGGGCTTCAGCAGTTGTGGCTCGTGGGTTCTAGAGTGCAGGCTCAGTAGTTGTGGCGCATGGGCCTAATTGCTCCGCGGCATGTGGGATCTTCCCGGTCCAGGGGTCGAACCCATGTCCCCTGCATTGGCAGGCGCACTCCCAACCACTGCGCCACCAGGGAAGCCCTGATCAGTTCCTTTGAAATATACCCTAAGTCTCACCACCTCTCCCATCTCCATTGTATCTGGGACCCAGAGATGAGGGTGTCAGAATCAAGAAGCTCCCACGACCACTGCTGGTGCGCTCACCACCTCCGAGCCCCAGGGAGCTGAAGAACCGCCACCAGGACGTTGCTCTGGACACACCCTCGTGTCCATGACCCTGCCTGCCAGCAGAAGACCGGCCAGAGCAGAACGGGAAACTCCCTCCACCTCACTTTTGCTTCCCAAATCGTTTCCTCCTGTGAACCCACAAACTTCTCCTTTGGCATGTATAGTAATCAGCTTCCTTTGGTCCGTTCTTGTGTCTCGTCTTAGCTCACTAGACTGACAGCTCAGAGAGGGACCACATGTCCCCATCTTTTTCTGTTCCCCAACAGTACCTAGAATCGGTCCTGCAGTGTATAACTGCCGCTGGGAACAAAGAACTTTTCTAGGTACGGAGTATGGCTCAAACCCAGCTTTTCTTTTCTTTTCTTTTGGCTGTGCCATGTGGCTGTGGGGTCTTAGCTCCCCGACCAGGGACTGAACTTGAACCTGGGCCCTCGGCAGTGAAACCACTGGACCGCCGGGGAATTCCCAAACCCAGCTTTCCTTAATCCTTGGGAGACTAACACCCTCTTCTTCACTACTATACTCATAACTAGGTTTTAGAGCTGATTCTCACCTATGTTTTGAAGCATGACGAAAATAAATAAAAATCCATCCATCTTAGTCCTATCCTAAGAAATTGTTCAATTGTGAACACTTTTAGAAACAATTTTCAAATGTTCTATGTTAAGTATACCTAGCTTTCAGGAAAACATCTGTCCTATTTTGGAGCGGTTCACAAATCTACACAAGTTCACTGACACTTATTTCACACTATATTTACATAATATTAAACAATAACTGATCTGATAAGAGAAAAAGACACTTCTGATATGAAACGCCAAACTATAAATCAGGATAACTAAATTATAAAGTAGTAATGCTCTTAATGCTCTTATTGTAACACATATGGAAATACTCATGTTTGTTCTATAGTATTTTATTCTATTTGATGGCTCCTATGGTTGTAAACTGCAACAAAGTTTCTCTTTCATAGTATTAGCTGTTCTACTGGCTCCTGAAATAAGATTCCTGACTCCCCCTTTTAGTGCTGCCTCTAGATACACAAAAGAAAGCAACTATAATTGAAAAAGGAATGTTTTATGGTCTTAATTTCTTAGCTGTGGAAACACTTTTTGACTCTGTTTTATTCCTTCCAGCTGGAATTTACAAGATTAAGAGTTAATATCTGAATTGCTGTGACTACAGCATATAGTCCTACAGTCCTAAACCCAGGGGTGAATTCAAATTATCTTCAAGAGACTGGAAGCAAAATATACAGTACGAAGTTTCCTATAAAAATAAACAGCAAAACTGTCTCTATCTAGACTTTCTGCAACTGAAAACAGACGGTGAAGAGAGATGTAAGATCTCAGAAGTCAGACAAAGGTCTGTGAGGAACTTAAGCTCGGAATAACTCCTACATGAAAGCGTGGAAAACTGAACTCTAACGCTTCTGCTCAGCACTGTGCCATCTCCCTATCTGGCGCTCCTCCCACCCCCCTTATCTGTATACAGTTAACAGTGACAGTTTTTTAAAGAGCCATTTCCATCACAAAGCATTTCATTTGTGTAAGAGGTGGGAGACACCCTAGTTAACTCCAGTGATGCTGTATTGTGTACAGAAATGTTATATACTTGATTCAGTAAGCTTGGTTACCTCATTTTTTCCCCCGACCACATTCCATTCTTACTAACATATTACTGACTAGAAAATTAGAAATAAAAGAAGTTAAGGAGTGTTAGAACACTCAGTTGTAAGAAAAGCTGGCAAAGACACAATTCCAGAAAAATACAGGTCAGGGGCCATTTAAAATAGGGGGAAATAGCACAGGGAATTCTGCTCAATATTATATAACAACCTAAATGGGAAAAGAACTTGAAAAAGAATAGATACATGTATACATATAACTAAAATCACTTTGCTGTACACCTAAAACTATCACAACATCGTTAATCAAGTATAATCCAATATAAAATAAAAAGTTTAGGGCTTCCCTGGTGGCACAGTGGTTGAGAGTCCGCCTGCCGATGCAGGGGACACGGGTTCGTGCCCCAGTCCGGGAAGATCCCACATGCCGCAGAGCAGCTGGACCCGTGAGCCATGGCCGCTGAGCCTGTGCGTCCGGAGCCTGTGCTCCGCAACGGGACAGGCCACAGCAGTGAGAGGCCCACATACCGCCAAAACAAATAAATAAATAAATAAAATAAAATAAATAAAAAGTTAAAAAAAAAAAGCTACAAGGATATACTGTACAAACAGGGAGTACAGCCGATATTTTATAATAACTATAAATGTATAACCTTTAAAAATTGTGAATCACTATATTGTACGCCTGAAACTTATATGATATTGTACATCAACTATCAATAAACAATTATAAAAATAAAAAACGGGAAAAATAATTTATGATAACTCTAAATTACCAAGGAAAAATCAAAATGTTTTAATATATCCTAAGAAAGTATAAAAGTATATGATCCATTTAATACTTAGGTCAAAATAGTTAAAACAAACATAGTTCTTTTTGAGTTAAGCTTTAGTTGTCTGGAATATTTATTTTACAGGATATGTTCTCTTCCCTGGGACTGCATGAAAATTAGGAGTCCTGCAATAAAACAAGAGCTCCCTAATCTTTTCTGACAGAAAAGATAATACAGGCTTATACAGAAGAAATATGAATTTGAAATTCCCACCAATTTATGCATCAAAAAGCCTCCTGAGATCTAAAATGTACATACCACTTAATAGTAATGTTGCATGGCTGCTTGTTAAATTTGATGTGATTTAAAGTTACCTGACACTTATAAAACTAGTCACATTCAACATAAACATTCTAGAGTTTACTTTTAAAAGTCTGGATTATTTTCACAATGCCCCCAAAATCATATTAAAGCAGACACTAAGAACCTATGATTTGAATTTTTTTTTAAGTATACAATGAGATTATAATTAGGACAACTTGGGACAAGATTCATGTTTGATAAGAGAACAGTACTTTTCTCTGTTCACATTGTACCACACAGATGAATTTTTTTTTTTGCTGTACGTGGGCCTCTCACTGTTGTGGCCTCTCCTGTTTCGGAGCACAGGCTCCGGACGCGCAGGCTCAGCGGCCATGGCTCACGGGCCCAGCCGCTCTGCGGCATGTGGGATCTTCCCGGACCGGGGCACGAACCCGTGTCCCCTGCATCGGCAGGCGGACTCTCAACCACTGCGCCACCAGGGAAGCCCCAGATGAATTTTTTTTACCTTTAACTGTTTGAAATGTCTGCAAAAAGCAAAATGCTCTAATGATGAATAATAATAAATATATAATAAAACGTGCAGTCATAAAAAAAAAGTTCTGAAAATTTAAGAACAAGTACAACCTTGACTTTTGACAGTCAGTAGTCTTTTTATGTCAACAAAACCTTCTATGGCTATTTTTCTAAAAGGTCAGTAAAAATTCTGCTCCCCCAGATTACCAATCCTTTTACTACAGCTCAAAATCATACAGCTTCAGTGTAGTATTTATTACTATGTTTTCACTTTTATTTTGGAAGTGAAACTTCTGCAAGACTAACCTTATAACTAACGTCATCCTTGCTTTATATCACATCGTTAAAATGGATAATGCACTTCAGCAACTGAAGTGTGTTGTATATTTTCATTTCAAAAACACCCACAAACTAAAATAGATATTTAAAATCTTTATTGTTTCATCATCAAAAGTTCTCTTTCCATAGAAGAATGGCAATGCAGGATCAGTGCACATTCTATGGAAAATTCAGACCTCAAGTAACTAGCCTGGAAATCAGAGACAGCACTATGTCAAGCTAGTGTGCAAGGTCAAAGACACAATGCTGCCAGTGCGATTAGTATACAGAAGAAATACGCAGCTCTCAGAAAAAGAGTCTATGGCCAAGTAAATGAAACAGTAGCAGTGCACTGCACTGACATTCTAGAACAGAAAATGGATGGGGGAAGACCAGAGAATGTACTTTTGGCAAAAAAAAAAAAAAAGAAAAAGAAAAAAAATTGAGTAGATCACAGGCACTGAGTTCCCAACTGTATCACCAGCTGCCTAATCCACGTGTGGCTGCCCCTCCTCCGTCTTTACGCCTACCACATCCTAACACTGCAAGCTGCTTTCAGCCTGTGTGTAAATGCGACAGCCACACGCGCGCATTTTTATTCTGCTTCCCATCTCACGGCTCAAAGTAACAACTTGAGTTGGGCGATAAAGCCCGTGGCCTTGAGGCATCTTTAGTAAAAAGCTGAACAAACCCACAATTTGTTCCCATTTTTTGGAGAAATCAACTTTATAAAACAAGACAGTTGTCATGATTACTCCATTTTTGTCTGAAGGCAGAACAGGTTTTATGTAAGTATAGTGAATAAACATATAAACAAATGTCCTTAACAAAATACTGTCAGACCAACTTGAACATTTTCAAAACTAGCTCCTGAAAAAAAGTACTGATAATCGTGAGATGGAATGACCACTACAGTTTGATCACGCCGGGTTACTGGGAACGTCTTGGTCAGCTTTGTGTCTGAAGCTGCGATACAGCTGGATTTGGCTACTTCGCATTAATTCACACAATCAAGGCCATTTTTAAAAGGTAACAGCAAATCTATTACGGTGAAATAAAAATCAAAACAGTTGAGAGGTATACAGGAAACTTGCCTTAAATATTTAAAAATTACATATGATATAACCTTAGGGGATAAGAACTACAATTACCGTGGTCTAAATCTTGAGTTGTTAATACATGAATTACCAGCATAACTAACAAGTCACTTGTTAATCACGTCAAGGCCTTGCGGGGCTGGGGCACTCTGAATGTATGGTGGAGCAATCACTCTCCAGGTGTGTTAAAACCTCTAGTTTAACGTGTTATTAAACCATATTGGAAAAGTGATTTTACTTAATATATACAATGTATAAAATAAGTTATAAGGAGGAGGCAGGAAAAGGTTTTCTAGTATGTAGGATGCAAACATACACTTTCCCGTATCAGTAGTAGTTCTGTGTGTGTCCCTTTACCCATGTAAAACATGAAAGTCTGAAAGAAGATTAAAAATTTCACTTATAAATAGAAACAGGATTCAAAAAAATGGAATTTCAATATCGTTTCTTCCCACAATGCAACTCACTCTAATTGTAACATAAATAAAAACCATATCTCAAAAATCTGCTTTTACACTCTTACCTTTAACAATAAGTTCTTCTAACAATTGAGAATAAAAGCACTCCTTTGTAGCAATTCCATAAAATAATTTGCAGTTCACAAAACACCTGCTTTCCAGCAAAACCAGCAATCCTTATGGAGGGCGTGGCATTAATACTTGGCCCCTCTGAGGTATAAATGCAGCTATATTTGCACTGAGTATATCGTCTATAAGGTATGCTAATAGTCTGCATGTTTGCATAAAATTGGGAGTGATGTCATCCTGACTGATTGAAAAACTTATCTTTATAACTTTGTGTAGTAATGGAGGTTAAATAATTTTAAGGAAAAAAAAGTACTTTAGCCCAGTAATAGCCAGCAGAACTCTAGTTCCTAACCAATGCAAATGGTTATTAGATTTAAAAAATATTTAACATTGCATACTGGTTAAAAAAAAAAAAACTGAACAGGGAAAACACATAAATATTTAAATTCAGCAGGACACCACAAAAAGCATACTAGAGATAAGTGTGAAATCAGTCAAGCTTTTCCAAAGGAGAAAATCCTTTTAATCCTTCAGCAAGTCTCTGTGAAAATAGTACGCTTACAATACAAGAGAGAAGGAGCGCCTAGAACACCCCCAAGAGGCTCGCTCCACTGCTCGGCATCACTGCCCCACCTCCTGTGTGCACGGACGGCTGAGAAATGACAAGAAGTCCATCTGACAAGAGTTCAGTAATCCCTTTCACCACTGCTGCCAGCTGAAGTCATCATTGCTGCCAAAGACCAAGAAAAAGCCCAGGATAGTTGCAAAGATGACAGTGTTTCCGGTGAGGACAAGTGCACAAGCTCCCCACTCGATCTACAGAAGAAGACAGAAACGCTCAGTTAACAGACATGAAAAACAATAATGAAACGAAAAGTGAATCAAGGCTCTAGCTGTAGCCAATCACGATCCAAAACAAATATAACTTGTAATAATAACTTTGACGCTGCTGAACATGTAATGCTGTTCTTATGTATCGCTGGTTCCTTTAAAGAGACAGAAAGTCATGGAAGATGATAATTATTCAAAAGCAAGCCTAACTTCCAGGCTATGAGGAGGCAGCACAGAATTCTACAATTTTCTGTTTACAAAGAAGTTTGCTCCAACTCTTCATTTGTGAACCCAAAAATTTTATCTAGAGAGCAGATTAAATTTAAAATATCAGAGATGCAAACACACTCGTGCACATTCTTTTCAAGAGGTGGGGAGTCATCGCCCTCTCCATGTGGAAGGGCGGCCAGTCCGTCTTCTCTGCCATCTCCACCCGCCCAGAGATGCAGGAATGAATCTGACTGGTGAGTCTGGGAAGCCTCTTCTACTCTTTGGTACTTTCCCACCTGCAGAGAACACGGATCTCCCCGGGTCTTCCATGTTTAAGCTATACAGGGCAGGCCTGTGGTTGTTCAGCACTGGCCGAGTCCATGTGCCCAATTCTGACAGTGAAGTACTGGCAAGCCAACTGTCGCCGCCAATGCTCTCCAGTATTTCCACCAGTTAACAACGACAAAAGTAAGATTTTTATCTCTTATCCTCTAGGCTCCTATGTCTCTCATCTCTTTTTCATGTCATTTAACAAAAACTTTTTTCCTGAGAAAAACTGAACACAATCTAATGTAAAACCATTAGTAGAAGAATGCTTTCACTTACCAGGTGTGCTCTGGCAAATACAATAGGGAGTCCAAAAGCTGAGACCACGATGCCTGTTGTAAGAAATATGGCCAGTTCCTTACAGGCGTTACTCATAGCATCCGTATCATCCACTAATCTTCTTGCTATGCAGTATGGAATAGGTGAAAGGATGTAAAAAAACAGAACAAAGAGAGGCCAGTATTGGCTAGAAAAAGAAAAATAAGTTAATGTAGTTTTTGCTATTTTTGTCATTTTCCTCACACAAGATCCACTCTTTTTAAAAATAAGGACCGAAGCATATTAGAAGGTACAAAATATGACACAGTTTAAAAATAAGCTATAACCTGAACACTGAAAAGAGGGACATTTAGAATCTCAGTATTCCTAAAGTTATGATACAATGATTAAATATTTCTCAAATTAAAAGAAAACACTTTATGAATTTTAACAGTTGGAATCAAAGCCCAAAATTAAAAATACATATTTTTTCATTTTAGGTTATAAATAAAAAGGGATTATTGAAAAATGGAATTATTAACAGTAATTTTAAAAATTCAAGATTCATGCCCTTGACTTCTAACATCCTGCCTTAGCATGAAGCTGGAACACTCCCAAACTTTCCACAGGTCACTAGGAACTCCCAAAATACTGAAATCAAAATACAGAAAATGAACTGACAGTAATATTGAAGACTTTCAGTCAGAATATGAACTTTATCACAATAAAAATAGATGGCTTTTAGTCTACAGTCTAGCTATTGTATTGTGCCAATGTCATTTCCTGTTTGTGATCATATAAAACAGTTGTGTAAGATATTAACACTGGGAGAAGATGTGTGAAGGGTATAAGGGACTTCTCTGTACTACTTTTGCAACTTCTTGAGAGCCCATCGTCATTTCAAAATAAAAAGTTAAAAAGAAATAGATGGCTTTTAAAACTGCCATAAAATAAAACACACATCATAATGGAGATTTGCTTGTACTTAGACACTCATGATAAGCAAAGATTTATCTATATGTTTTTCCTAAAAGATCTTTTCCTAAATATTTTGAGAAAAAAAAATTACAAATGGACATAAGTTTAAGGGAAAAAACGTGCAAAAATTATAAAAGCACAAAAAGTGAAAAACCAAGGCTGTCTGTGTCTTCCCCACTCCTACTGATCTGGGTCCTTCCATATTCCCATATAGATAAACTTTAAAGATATGAATGAATCACTGCACTTTTAAATTTAACAATATATCTTTTTTGTTTGTTTGCTTTTTTTTTTTTGCGGTACATGGGCCTCTCACTGCTGTGGCCTCTCCCGTTGCGGAGCACAGGCTCCGGACGCGCAGGCTCAGCGGCCATGGCTCATGGGCCCAGCTGCTCCGCGGCATGTGGGATCCTCCCGGACCGGGGCACGAACCCGTGTCCCCCGCATTGGCAGGCGGACTCTCAACCACTGCGCCACCAGGGAAGCCCTTAACAATATATGTTATTTTACATATTAGCAATCCAGCTCTTATTCTTTTTAAGACTGCCTAGTATTTTCATTGATGGATGTACTATAATTTATCATTTTTCTTTTGACAGACCTTTAGGATGCTTCCAGTTTTTTTTGTGTTGCTGTTGTTATTATAAACAAGTCTGCCATGAACATCCATACTCTCCCCCGACTACACATATCTTTGCAAACATCTGTAAGTGGATTTCTATGAGTAATTCTAAGAAGTGGAAGGCTAGTTCAGAGAATATATACATTTTGAGAGCTACTGGCAAGCTGGCCTCCCAGAGGACTTGCACCTATTTAAACTTCCACCCAGAGTACATAACAATGCTTGTTTGCCATATCTTTTATCTTTGCCAATGGATTTCATTTAATTTTGAGTGAGGTTGAGTATATTTTCATGTTCTTAGTAGCAATCTGCAGTTCTTTTTTCATATTTGTAGTTCATTTTTCTATTGCATTGTCTGTATTTTTTTTGATTAAAAAAATTTTATTTATTTTGTTTATTTATTTATTTTTTTCCCTTTTTTTTTTTTGGCGGTACACGAGCCTCTCACTGCTGTGGCCTCTCCCGTTGTGGAGCACAGGCTCCGGACGCGCAGGCTCAGCGGCCATGGCTCATGGGCCCAGCCGCTCCGCGGCATGTGGGATCTTCCCGGACCGGGGCACAAACCCATGTCCCCTGCATCGGCAGGCGGACTCTCAACTACTGCGCCACCAGGGAAGCCCTTGTTTGTTTATTTTTGGCTGTGTTGGGTCTTCGTTGCTGCGTGCGGGCTTTCTGTAGTTATGGTGAGCGGGGGCTACTCTTCATTGAGGTGCGCAGGCTTCTCACTGCGGTGCCTTCTCTTGTTGCGGAGCACGGGCTCTAGGTGTGCAGGCTTCAGTAGTTGTGGTACGCAGGTACAGCATTTGTGGCTTGCAGGCTCTACAGCGCAGGCTCAGTAGTTGTGGTGCATGGGCTTAGTTGCCCGCGGCATGTGGGATCTTCCCGAACCAGGGCTCGAATCTGTGGCCCCGGCATTGGCAGGCGGATTCTTAACCACTGCACCACCAGGGAAGCCCTGTATTTTTCTTACTAATTTATCCTATTAATTAAAAAAAATTCTCTCTGTCCTAAGGAAAGTAATTGTCAAAAGTCATTTACATGGCTTCTTTTGTCAGTTGCTCTTGACTCTGCTTACAGGTTTTTGTTTGTTTTTGCTCAAAAGACATTTTACATTTTCTTGCATTTAATTTAATCAATTGGTTCTCAAAATTAAGCAGTAGTGCTGGGCTACTGTGTTGCTATCCTGCCATTAAAGACTTAGCAGTAGTCAAGGACAGCCAAAGTCTTTTTTGCACGCTGCTGTCCTAAAATCTTTTCAAACACCTTTTAAGTGAAGATTTAAAGTTTGTCCTTGGTAAACGACCATTTCTCAGGATTACTTCTATTGTAGTAAAAAAAATTTTTTTAAATTTTAAAAGTAGAAAAATTTTACACTTAAACACTCAAAAAGACAAAAATTTTACATACTTGTATATTGGAAGGGCACATCCAAGCATCAAAAACATCAGCCCAATTGCTCCTCCAAAGGACAAACTAATCAAAGCTGCAAAGTAAATAATTAAAAAAAAATAGAAATAGTAATTAAATTAAATTAACACTATTTGTATTAATATTACTATTAGCAGTCTGAACATTACCTGTGATCCCAGAGGCAAAAAGCAAACAAAACACACCAAAAAAAGCAAATGTATTAGTGAATCATCTTCAAAAGCTGAAGTTACCTGGTTTCAGAATAAGTCTTTTGTGGCATCTTCAAAGCAAAATACAGTGATACTGATATTCAAAGCCCTGACCTATCGCCAGCACGTCACCACATTCCCAAATTACTGGTTCCATGTCAAATGAGCATCCCAGTCTGCGAGATCAATGCTCCTCCAGGCATTAGTATGATACTCACTCCTCAGATCATTACCGTTTTGAAAAGTAGTATGTGGAGAAACTCCACAGTAACTTTACTGGACTTCAGAAGCCTCATCTATGGGAAACCCTCTCCTGAGCAGTTCCTACTTCCTGCACACACACCCCCAACAGGCACAGGTGAAAAGTGTCCCTGGATATCTGTAGTCAGTAATCTCAGTCAGTTAATTCTGCTACAGATATTTAAATCGTTTGCAAAACAATAGCTGGGTTTCTTTCCCTAAGTTCCTACACATTAGAAAATCTGCAGGATAACAGGTACAATCCTTCGGTGGTATCACTGTTTTAAGACATTATCACAAGCAATAGATGCATTCTATAGCTGAAATATAGTTTCTGAAGTCACACACACACACTTATACAAAGCATTATGTTTTATAAAGTGTTTTCACATAGATAAGTGAGTAGAAACAACTTCCTTGAATATACATAGTTAACCAATGGCCTAGAATTAAGCAAAGAAACAAATGATCAATTTATTTTGAATTCTATACAACCTATATTTCTGCAACTACAGTGGCTAAGAGAATAACTTACTTTTTTTTTTAATGATGCAGTCCACTAACCTTAACAAAAACATTAAAATTCAAAAGAGCTGTCGAAGGTCTACAAATTACCAAGACAAAATCCAACATATACAAACCAAAATTAACACAAGGGGTTAAATGCTGCTAAGAACTACTGATATACTTCTCTGAATTAAGATGGTCATAATCAAGGACACCCAATGACATGGGAGCCGGGCAGATTTAGTTTTCATTCAGATGAGTGATGTAGGTCATGTCAACCGTGAACACATTTACTTAGTCCTTAATGCCATTAGATTTTCAGTTGCACAAAGAAAAAGACACATTTGCACTTTAATCTGCAGCAAAAGAGGAACTTCACGTTTATAAGGGAATGCCATGTAAGCAGTGAGGAAAATACCAAGTTCACCGTTTGTTTTGTTCAGTTCAAGACAGGTCCTCATAAGCTGACCCCATTTCCTTGCTCGGACACACATCACCCCAGGCTAGCACCCCTTGGTCTTGGCACTGCAGCTGTACCAGCCCCCTTTCCTCTCCTGGAAATCAGCCGGCTCCCTCACCCACAGGGCCTTTGCACATGCTATCCCTTCTACCTCAGATACTTTTTCATTCACTTATTTCATTCAAGAAATGTCTACATAGAACCAAATACCTAACAGGTGCTGGGGACATGTTAATGAACAGGCAAGGCCATGTCACTCACGGAGCTTGAATTCTTGTCCCAGTCCTTGCCTCTTTCTGCCAAGCGAACTCCTACTTTTCCTTCAGGTCACAGCCCAGTTATCTCTTCCTCAGTGAAGTTTTTGCAAAGCCCCTGACTAGACTGATTCCCATTATGTTTATTTATTCACTTATTCCACAAATATCTACTGAGGGCCTACTGTGTGTCACACACTGTCCTTGACACTGGAGACAGCACAATGTAAAGAAATCGAAGCTCTTGCTTTCATGCTTACATTCTTGTGGGAGAATAAAGCAATTTTTTTAAAAAGTAAGCAAATAAATGTCAAATGCTATGGGAAAAAAAATCAAGTAAGGGGGTGGGAGTGCTATTCTAGATGCATCAGCTGGGAAAGCGTCTCTGATGAGGAGACATCTAAGCAGAGATCTATATGAAATGAAGAAGTGAATCAATCTCGTGGCTATCTGGGGGGAACATTCCAGGCTGAGGGACGTGCACGTGCAGAGGTCCTCTTTGCTCTGGATGCCTCCCCTGTGCTCATTTATCACAGCTGCAATGTTATACTGATTTGTATTTGTCTTCCCTTGTAAGCTGTTCACACCACAAGAGCAGGGAAAGAGTTCTTCTGTTGCTGATGCACAGGCCTCAGCTCTTAACACTCAATAATAAACATGTGTAGAATGAACGAAAGGGAGCAAAGGGGAGAGAGGGAGATGAAAAAAGAGAAGAAAGCCCAATGCAGCAGAGCAGAAACAGCCGTAACTGAGAGTCAGGAGGCACTGGGTCCCAGCTCCTACCAGCCACTTACTAGCTGACTAAGTCATCTAAATATCAGTTCTTTCTTCTATAAAATAAGGGTTGGACTAGATCTAAAATGCAAATACTTCTCTGAACACTAAAGATACTTGTTATAAGACATGCTGAAGAAGTAAAACACCATCTCTGCTTTGTGAAATATAACTGCCAAACAGCTAAGTTCATCACTATAATAACACCTTATTTATTCAAAAGCCATTTATGCAGCATAGACCTTAGACTCCTAAAGGAAACAGAGACATAACATAGATACCACAAAGCCCATACACTAAAGCTAACATTCTTTTTTTTTTTTTTTTTTGCGGTATGCGGGCCTCTCACTGCTGTGGCCTCTCCCGTTGCGGAGCACAGGCTCCGGACGTGCAAGCTCAGCGGCCATGGCTCACGGGCCCAGCCGCTCCGCGGCATGTGTGAGCCTCCCAGACCGGGGCACGAACCCGCGTCCCCTGCATCGGCAGGCGGACTCTCAACCACTGCGCCACCAGGGAAGCCCAAAGCTAACATTCTTTATAAGCAGACACTTAGGCACTTATTCAGAAGTTATTTGTTCATTTTTTGTGACAACTGTGTGTGAATTCCAGCGGAATAAAACCTTTTTATTTTAAAGGATCACCTATGCTCACTTATACATATATATTTCAATAGGCAACTCAGGTACCCAGAAAAAAGTTAAGTGAAAAGTAACTTTTCTTTCCTGGATTACTGTTATCTGTATCTTGTGAAGACAAAATTTTGTAGGCTTATTTTGCTTCCTATATTTAAAGAGATGAGAAATAGGAGGGAGAGCTGCATACAAGCAAGAACTGCCCTCTGATTGGGGGGAAGAGACTAAAAAAAAAAAAAAAGGTTAAATCAGGCATAAAAATCTCAAAGAGCATACCAGATTTGCGATAGATAATCTTGGCCAAGAGATAAGTAGCCTTAGGACTTGGTTGCTGAAGTTAACCCTGTTCTATGACAGAGAAAAATTACTTAAGTTCCTTTTTTTTTTTTTTTAAATTTTATTTATTTTTGGCTGCGTTGGGTCTTCGTTGCTGCGCAGGCTTTCTCTAGTTGCGGCGAGTGGGGGCTACTCTCATTGCAGTGCGCGGGCTTCTCATTGCAGTGGCTTCTCTTGTTGCGGAGCACAGGCTCTAGGCGTGTGGGCTTCAGCAGTTGTGGCACATGGGCTCAGTAGTTGTGGCTCGTGGGCTCTAGAGCGCAGGCTCAGTAGTTGTGGCACACGGGCTTAGTTGCTCCGCGGCATGTGGGATCTTCCCAGACCAGGGCTCAAACCCATGTTCCGTGCATTGGCAGGCAGATTCTTAACCACTGTGCCACCAGGGAAGTCCCTACTTATGTTCTTATCCTAAAAAAAGAGTCTAAAGTCTTTGGGTACACTCTTAAAAAGTTAATGAAGATGATTTCTTAAAAAAAAAAACAACCCAAGGAACTGAAATAAGATTCAGGTATCAAAAAATAATTTTATGTGACATCTCACCTCCCAGTCACGATGGATAAGATAAATGCCAATGGGGTTAAATAAACTGTTCAAAAGTGTTCTCAAAAGTTGTAAAGTTTCTCCAGTCTTATGAAATCAGCAATTAGGCTGATTTATATACAAAACTCCTCATTTGTGTATAAATGGTTATCCTAGATGACACATCAATGAGGCAAAAATTTTATGCTGTAATTGAGTGATTTGACATCCAGAAGGCAAAACTTAGATGAGTCTGGTTTCTACTCCCAAAGCCTCCAGGCTGGGGATGGAACAGCCCGATTTATCTAAACTCTCAAAAGACTGGGTGCTAGTTCGTGATTACGAAGAGACTGCAGTAGGAGGAGGGACCAGTTCCCTAACCTGGGAGTTACCAGAAAAATCCAGTATATAACAAAGTAATAGGCAAATGGCTTAAGAAATAAGTCGTGGATTAAATCATAGCAACATAAAGATAGGCTAACAGGAAGAAAACATCCTGAAACAATCATAGCAATCAGAAAATCTTACTGAAACCAAAAGTGTAAGTACAATCCCATCTGAGACACTTTCTGCTGATTAATATTCACCTAAGTCCACAATCACAAAGTTATTTTCTTGAGAGAGAGACTCCTGCATTTATTGACAGTAAAGAAATGGAGAAGAACTGAGAAACTGGCAAAGAACTGAGAAACTGGCAACATCCTAAAAAAAGACAGCATTCTACCATAACTGCCTTTCACACAGGGATTTTAAAAGGTCTGTTAGAGTTCAAAAGGAGACTGGAAAGTAACTCAGCTGGTCAATTGACAAAGTTTTCTATAGGAAATGAAATGTCTTCAGACGTTACAAACAAATAAGAAACAGTAAAAATGTGACTCTGGGGAAGCAGCTCAGCAAAAGCTGTCCTTAAAGCAAATAAGAAACACTGTTATTGAAGTTCTTCACTTCCTGCTTGCCTGCCCCTTCTACAAAGCCTCAGGTCAGGAAATCAATGTAATTCGTTGTCAAGAATTAAGTTGAAAACGTTCGTAATGGTATTTGCTTCTAACCACGCTAACAAAACTACCAAACAGTTGGAAAGCATGCGACATCCCTTATTTCTAAAGGAAACTGACTAATAAACGAGTACTTTTCCATTGAGTTTTAATGAAAAACTCTTTTGCCTTAAAAAAAAACTCAACTAAATAAAAACTCTGAAATGTGAAAAAGCCTCAACGTGCAACTGTGGAGAGGGCAGGGGGAAGGAGCCCTTTGGGGTCGCTCACAGGGTCTATCCTGTCAGACCAACACCGCAAATCAAAATGCATCCGTTTTAGGAGCGTAAAGCTCTGAGTACGGGTCCTGAGCGTGGATGTGATCGCCGAGGTTTGGGAAAGAACCATCCCTAAGGCCTTCCAGGGCGTTCCTGGGGGACTCGGTTGGGCTCAGCGCCCGAAGACCGCACTCTTGCCTTTAAATGGGAAATGACACTGATTTACCGTAACTGGCATCTCTAGCGACCCCCTCAAAACCACCCTCTGCCCGCCTCGCTCTCGGACGCAAACTCCTGCAAAACATGTGTGATGGCCCGAGCGGCTGCGGGACTCCGAACACCCCGCGGGCCACTTCGTTCTCCGTACGGGGCGCGACGAGTGGGAGCGAGGCTGCCGAGCTCAGCAGAAAGTGGGGGCTGGCGGACAAGCCGCCGACCCCGCCGTCCTTTCCCCGAGGCCGCCGCGCCCACCTCGGCTCCGAGAGCGCAGGCCGGGGGTTGGGGTCGGGGGTCAGGGCTCTGGGCTCTGCCGCCAGGTAGCGGCCCCGCGGCGCGCGCCCGGCCCCGGGAGGCGGCGTGCGGGGCCTGCGTGGAACCCCTCCCCCTCTCTCGGGGCGGCCGCGCAGCCCTCTGGCCGCCCAGCGCCCCAAGCCCACCTTTGATGCCGGCCATGGCGGTGACGTCGCTCCTGCCTCCGGGACCCGAGGCGACGGCAGCGGCGGCCGGGAGACCGGAGACGCGCGGCGGCGGCGGCCAGACAACACCCGGAAGTGCGCGACGCAGCACTTCCGCCGGCGGCTCGCGCTCGCGCTGGGGCGCTGGGGGCGCGCCGGGCTGGGGGCCTTCGTGCTGACCCCTTCCTCCCCGGCTCTGCTCCCGTGGGATCGCCGACCTGCGAGACTTCCCGGCCCCGCCCCGGTTCCCGGGCCGTGGAGACTCCAGCTCCCGTGTTCCCTGCAGTGTCCGGGAAACTCCATCCCGCAGACCCCAACGCGCATCCTGCAACCTCCCCATCCTTCGGGAAGGGAGCGCGAGTCGACGCGGTCCTTTGGGAGGACTGGTGTGAAGCCTTTGGGGGATCCTTTTGCGTCCTTCAAAGCGCACCCATTTCTTTCTCCTCCCTATCTTGTAATAAAGGAGCAGTAAGGCCAGTTGGGTGGTCTGCACTAGGCTTCTCGCTTTCCGACACAGAACTAGGGTCTGGTGAGACCCACCTTCAGAGGGAGGAGCGGCGGGACTCAGTAACAAGTGGATTTAATACAAATCCGAGCTCTTGGGAGTCTGTGAGTTGTTTTTTTTTTTTTTTTTTTTTAGTAACAGGGCTAGGAAAAAAGTAAGCAGAGGTACAAATACATTTAGTTAAGTAATTCTACAAATTGATTGAACATTTACTGATATTATGTGTGGGGAACACTGAGGTGAGCAAAACCGGGTACGGTTTCTGTCCTCAAGGAACTTACTGTTTAGTGAGAGAGACAGACACGAAAAAGCGTAACATTGCAACAATGATAATTGCAAAGAAAGTGGATAGATACTCCTGTGACAGTCTTTGATTTCGATCAGTCAGGTGAGATTTCCTCGAGGGAGGGACAACAGCAGGATGAACAGGTGTGTAACTAGGAGAGAAAAGGGAAAATCCATCATGGGGAAGGGACAGTGTTTACAAGGGTGGGGGAGGTGAAGATCACATTTAGGAAGCCTTTTGGGGCACAAGCCCTGGTGGCTGAGGGAAGTGCTAGTCCCCTAATTTCCTTTCTTTTTTTAAATTAATTTATTTTTGGCTGTGTTGCATCTTCGTTGAAGGCACTTATTATTTATCTGAACTATATTATTTGTTGGCTGTCTCTCCCACTAGAGTGTAAGTTTGTACAACGTTTTATGTTTGTTCACCACTGTCTAGAACTGTACATGGCAACTGATGGGATCTCAAATAACAGAAATTCTCTTTTTAAGGTAATTAGTGAACTCTACCTTTCAAAATCCAAAGGTCACTTTCAGGCTCAGCAGCCATGGCCCACGGGCCCAGCCGCTCTGCGGCATGTGGGATCCTCCCGGACCGGGGCACGAACCCGCGTCCCGTACATCGGCCGGCGGACTCTCAACCACTGCGCCACCAGGGAAGCCCCCCAAAGGTCACTTTTTGATCCAAACTTTCAACAACAATGGACACTGGTGACCATTCTTTCTCTCAACTACCATACCACTGTTCTCCTGTTTGTTTCTTATACCTCATCAGAGATTTCTTTTCAGACTCTTTCTAGGAACTTCTGCTCAAGGTTCAAATGTTAGTGTTCTCTTAATTTGATCCTGGGCCTCTGTCTTTGCTATATCTAAATTCTCTCCCTCTGAATTGTATCTCTTCCTGTGGCATTAAATACTGTCTTCTTTTTGATAGCATAACTACCAAGTTTACCTTGGCTTTGAAATTCAGACTTGCATATCCAAGTATCTATTTGACATGTCTACCTGGATTCCTAAAAGTCACCTCAAACCTAATATGTGGAGACCAGAATTCTCTATTATCTTTATTCCAGTCCCACTTGGTCCCACTCCAAGCCACCACTGTTATGCCTCCTCTTGTTCCACTCTTCCCCAAACTTACTTTGCTTCAGTTGCCCTGGCTTTGTTTGCCTCTCCCAACCCCTAAGTTTTGTTTTATTCATTGCTGTATCCCCAGTGCCTAGAACAGTGCCTGGCAGGTACTGTTAGGTGCTAAATAGATAAAGGTGTTAATCAAATTAGTGAATGATGTTCCTCAAAACAGAAACAGGGCATTTGCATCCACTGTTCCCCAGGCGGTGAAGGCGCTCCCCCGATCTTTGTATTTTCTCATCATTCAGGTCTCAAAGCTTCAAAATCACTTCCTCAGCAAGGCCTTCCCTGAAGTTGGCTCCTAGTCTCTACTGTATCACCCTGTTTTATTTTGATCAATGCACTTATCACTATTATTTTTATTTATTAATTTATTATTTAATTTTGTTTATCTTAGTTCTCATCAGTGTAAGCTCCATGAGTACAGGGACCTTGTCTGCATACTCCAAGCTGAAAACAGCGCCAGACACATACTAGGCGTTCAACCTATATTTGTTGAATGAATGAATGAAGGAGAGAAATCCAGGACTCTCAGACCTCAAAGATAATGCCTATGCACTCTTAACTGTTTTCCCTGGCTGGTTCTTTATTTAGGTGGTAGTTTCTCCTCCGGATATCTTGTAAATTCCCACTGTCTCCACGTGGAAGGAAATATGTAAAGGTTCTGAGCTTCTGAAACCAGACAATATATTTCCGTGCTGCCTCTCTCAAATCCACTCTGTATTTAGCAAACTAATGGAACACAAATCATGCGCCAGACGCTATGCTAGTTGCTGAAGACGTGAAGTTGGGTAAGGCACAGTAGCGTCCCTCGGGAAGGTTATTAAGGTTTTGTAAATAACGTGACTACACTTAGATTTTGCGTTGTGATGGTTTCAGTCTTCGCGCTGAACCTTTAGGAGGGCGGCCCTAGGCCCCGCCCACAGCCTCTGCGTCCCGCCCTTGGCTCCGCCCCCAACGTCGGCACCCCGCCCTCGACTCCGCCCGCAGCGACCACTCCAGTTCCCCCACGGGCCGCCGCTGTAGTGACGTCAGACTGGCGCACGGACCTTCCCTGCAGCAGGGGTCCTGCGGTAGACCTTTCTTTTTCCGCGGCGGAAGCTGCCGGCGTCGGTGCTTAACGGTGCGCGGCCTTCCGCAGCCAGGGTTCCGACCTGCGAGCTCCCGGGAGCCGCGCGCCATCTTCACCGAGCGCCATGGTTTCGGCCGGCGGGCCGGAAGCGGCTGGACGCTGCGCTCTGTTCAGCCTCCTTTTGCTTCTGTTGATCGCGGGCTCTGCCCGGGGCTGGAACGACCCTGGTGAGTGCTGCCTTCACTCCCCCCTTCCTGCTGCCTTCAAGCAGCGCTAAGAGGCTCCACCATTTCTGTTCGCCGCCCCTTGAGCCCTTCTACCCTAATTCCTCATTTCCATCCTCCTCGCTGTTCATCTGTGCCCTGCCTGGCCTCTTTGCTCTTCCCAGACGTCCTCCTGGACGAGTGTGGACTGTTGGGGAGTGGGCGGGGCGGGACTACTCTAGTGTTGTTAATGTTCCCTTCTCCCTTGCTTGGACTCCCAGAATTTGCCCACCTTCTTCTTTCTCGGGCTACAGCCCTCATCCCCTGGGTCTGGCTGGAAAGCTCGACCCTCACCTGCGCATTTTGCTTTGTTGTCAAGACTGTCTGATGTCATCGTCTCTGACTCTTGTCATGGCTGCCTGTTGCTGTACCTGGCAGTTGCCATGGCACCGGCAGTCCTTGAGTCACACTTCGTGGACAGGGCTGCAAACCTTGGAGGTAGGTTAGCAGAATCATGGACTGTACTATTTATGTGATCACAACTCACGCTGCTTATTCTGACCATTACAGTGACGTTCATTGCGTTACACCAGCTTTTCCTGTTGAATTAAAAAAAATTTTTTTTTTGTGATGGTACACGATAAGTGATTTCTAGGAAAAATAGTTCTTTCATATCACTATGTTATTAGAATTGTCTAACGAATTTTTATGGGATCGAGAATATTCCATGTAATTAATACATATGTGTGTGTATATATATGTATACATACATACATACAGTTTTCCATTTAATAAATGATGCATGCTGTTAAGTTGGAGTGATGTAAAAAATGACTTTCAAACAATGAAAACATCATTTTTGTTTTGGGGAGTAAAGATGTTAAAAGCATGGAAAGTGTACCCATATTGCAGTCGTGATTTGGTGATAGGAAATGCCTGTGTTTTTGAACTTAAGCAACAGATTTATTTCTGAAGCTTCTTATTTTTTATTCTTAAATGCTAAAATGAGAGAGAAGGTGCTATTTGTAAGTACTTGATTTTGAGTACTCCTTTGATGTGGATGTTTTATTACTAATTAATAAAAAGCCAAGTTGGATTTAAATGTCTGTACATTTTCCTTATGTATTTCTAGAAAGTTTTATATAGATAGAAGACTTTGATCAGAATTACAGTTTAAAAACTGGATTAAAACATTAGTTGAACTCTCAATCAATTCTTGAATAAAAAGAGGAGGTTTTTAAAAAAAATGGTTTACAGATGAAGAGTCAGGGGAATAAAAAAACGGAGCCAAATTTAAACTAATGATGAACCTTTTCCTGGTAGTTCTTTGTCTACCTACTCTATAAAACTATTGTTCTGGAACAAAAGGCACAAAAATATTTTGCAGAGTAAACACAAACTACTTGGACTTAAATTTCTTTTGAGGAACTATTTTATGAAGGCATTTTATTGAGTTAGTTTTTTCAAGTAGTTTTATCAAGCAGTAGTCAGTCCCTCGTTTGTCTTTTGTTTGACTTTGGTTGTACTCACTTTGTCTTTAGCTAACATAAAGCAAAAATTTGTCCAGAAAAAAAAAAATTGTACCAGTTCTAAAGAGATTACCTAAAAATTTTCACAATTCTTTATTGAGCTGCTTTGTATTTGTCACTCTTCTGGGTGTTGGGAATATTGCAGTGAACAAAACAGTGTTTTGCCCTGGAGTTTACACCTATTGAGGAGAAATAGAAAATGAACAAATCAGGTAAATAGCGGGTCATATTGTGAATAGTGGTTTGGACATTGATAAAAACAGGGTAAGGAGGACAGGGTGTGCAGGCAGAAGCAGGGATTTTCAAAATATACGTTAGTCAGGGAAGAAGTCACTGTTAAGGTGACATTTGATGAGAACCCTGAAGGGATGGGTCTGCTATGACCTGTATTCTATCCCATTCTATTCTGTTCTATATATTTTTAATATCTGTTTTTTTTTTTCTTTTTCTTTTTTTTGCGGTACATGGGCCCCTCACTGTTGTGGCCTCTCCCGTTGCGGAGCACAGGCTCCGGACGCGCAGGCTAAGCGGCCATGGCTCACGGCTTAGCCGCTCCACGTCATGTGGGATCTTCCCGGACCGGGGCACGAACCCGTGTCCCCTGCATCGGCAGGCGGACTCTCAACCACTGCGCCACCAGGGAAGCCCTAATATGATCTGTATTTTAAAGGCACATTCTGTCTGCTCTGTGGAAAACAGACTGTGGGAGTGAGAGTGGGTGGGGGGAAGCTGGGAGGCCAGTGAAGGGACTGCTTGTACAGTAAGTCCCGAGAGTGGTGATGGTTGGCGGCGGGGGCGGGGGGGGAAGCAGTGCAGTTGGTGAGAGTGGTGGGCTTCTCAGCTGTTCTGAAGGTGGAGATGACATGATACTCTGAGGGATTAGATATAGGGGTTAGAGGAGGAGAGAAGACAAAGATAACTCCAAGGTTTTGGATCTTGAGTGACTAGAAGGATGGAATTACCCTTTCCTGAGATGTGGGATTGTGGGAGAATCAGGCTTGGGGGAGTTTGGTTTTGTTCATCTTAAGTTTGAGACCTGCAAGTGGATTTTGACTTGTGAGTCTGGACTTCAGGGAAATGTGTGTCATCCTTGACTGATGTACTAGTGGAGTAAGGTTGTGAGCATTTTGTTCTTAGACCTTGTCTTAGTTCGAGCTGCTATCACAAAATACCACAGACTGGGTGGTAAGCAGCATTTATTCCTTGCATTCTGAGGCTGGGAAGTCTGAGATCAAGGTGCGAGCATGTTTGGTGTCTGGAGAGGGCCCTCTTCCTGCTCTGCAGATGACTGTCTTCTTGTTATGTTCTCACATAACAAGAGTTGGGGTGGGGCGGGGTGGGGGTAGGTGGGATTGAGTGGGTGGATGGGGGCCCTGGTCTCTTCCTCTTCCTACATGGGCACTAATCCCATCACTGGGGCTCCATCCTCATGAGCTCATCTAAAACTAATCACCTCCTGAAGGCCCTGCCTCCAAATGCCACCACATTGGGGATTAAGGCTTCAACATATGTATTCTGATTACAAAACATAGTAACCTTTAGGATCTCTAGGGAGGAAAGATGCTGTAGAGTCATGGTAATGATAACACATAGGTATATGGCTCCTTAAACATTGTCAATAATATTTATCATACTTGATCACCTATTATGTGTCGAGTACTCTGCCAGATAATTTTAGTAAATCATATCTAAACTTCACAGTCAATTTTAAGGTTGATATCGTTTTAACTTTACAGGTCATTTCTATACAGATAAATTGACTTGGCCAAAGTCATATAGCAAGTTGGTGGTGGGAATTTAGTTCAGTGTTCTTTGCATTATCTCAGCCCTGCTACAACAAATTCAAGTTGTTATTATTCCCATGATTTAGTTTAATAATATTCTGATTTTTTAAACCATTGAACATTTTCATTGTTATAATTTTTTATTTATTAGGAGGTAGTTTGAGTTTAATATAGCATACTTTATTTTAGTATAGTTCTTGGAAATTTAGATATTTGGATCATGTGGAATTAAATTTTTATATAGCTTCAGGTGGATTTTATTCTAGCTGTGTAGTCAGTTATGACAAAACCATTTATTAAAGAAGACATCCTTTTTCCACTAAATTGAAAAGCCTGCTTTTGCTGGTTGGAGAAGAGTTTCCTTTCATTTAAGGAGTAGTCTCAGAATCACTATTCTGTACAGTATTACCGAGATCCCACTTGAGGCTACTGCAACTCATTGTAACTCAGACCCAATTTACTCTACTTCTTAAATTACTTGTGGGTTTGAGATGCATCATTTGTCTTTCCTCACACAGGCTAAGCAGGGCAGAAAGAGTTGTGCAGAATATTGAGTTTTGTCAACGGTAAAGGATGCCATTGTGCTTTGTTTTATAAATAAAATATGGTGATGCTTGATAAAAAAAAATACACCTAGAACACAAAAAACCCACTTTATCTTGTATTGAATTTCCACATATATCTGGATTTATTTCTAGACTTTCTTTTGTTTCACAGTTCACTTGTCTGTTTCTGTTACTATCCCATACTATTTTGATTATTTTAATTTTATAGTAAGCTTTATTATTTGGTAAAACAATGCATTTTTTTTTTTTTTTTTGCGTTACATGGGCCTCTCACTGCTGCGGCCTCTCCCGTTGCGGAGCACAGGCCCCGGATGTGCAGGCCCAGTGGCCATGGCCCACGGGCCCAGCTGCTCCATGGCACGCGGGATCCTCCCAGACCGAGGCACGAACCTGCGCCCCCTGCATCGGCAGGCGGACTCCCAACCACCGCGCCACCAGGGAAGCCCCATTTTTTAAAAATTGACATATTATTGACTTATAATATTAGTGTCATGTTTACAACATATTAGTTTAATATTTTTATAGATTATACTCCATTTAAAGTTATTACAAAACAATGGCTCTATTTCCTTGTGCTGTACAATATATCCTTTTTGCTTATTTAAGCAATGTATTCTTTTTTTTTTTTCGGTACGCGGGGCTCTCACTGTTGTGGCCTCTCCCGTTGTGGAGCACAGGCTCCGCATGTGCAGGCTCAGTGGCCATGGCTCATGGGCTCAGCCGCTCCGCGGCATGTGGGATCCTCCTGAACCGGGGCACGAACCCGTGTCCCCTGCATCGGCAGGCGGACTCTCAACCACTGCGCCCCCAGGGAAGCCCTTAAATGTTGATATATTTTAATGTAAGTTACAGGCATCATGATAGGCCATAACTAAATCCTTCAGTATAAGCCTTTTTTTAATGAACTTTTCCCCACCTAGTAAAAATAACATTACATCTAACAAAATTGACCCTAATTTCTTAATATCAACTAATTACTCATTCCATAGCCAGATATCACAGTTGTCCCTAAAATGTCTAAACTAGTTTGTTCAAACCAGGGCCCAGTCCAGGACCAGTCATTGCATCTGACTGAATTATTCCTTAAGTCTTTTGAAAATGTAGAATGGTCTCTTTTTTCATGCTCCTGCTTTGCTGAAGGGATTGGGCCAGTTATCCTTTAGAATATCCTACGTTCTGGATTCTGTTTTCTCATGACATTGTTTTAGCATTTTTTTTTCTTCCTTGTATTTCTAGTAAGCTGAATGCTAGGTCCAAAGGATTGATTAGATTCATATTAAATACTTCTGAGGATTACATCATAGGAGATGGTGTAATATCGATCTTTATACCGTTAGCAGTGCTAAGTTTGACTAGTGGATTACAGTGGCTTATTTCTCACCTGTGAAGTTACATTTTTCCCCTTTTGTGACTAGAGAGCACTCCATGTAATGTTACTTGGCAGTATACCAATATCCATTCACTTAATGATTTTAAAACTAATTAATCCTTTTCTGAATCTGTTTATTTAGGGGTTGTAAGATGGTGATTTTTCTAATTCTATCACTTCTTCTGCATTTATTGATTGATATTCTTCAGTAAAGTTGAGATTTTCCTTATCAACTGAGGCTATTTCAGATTATGGTTCTGGCTGGAAAGTCAGGATAAACATTTAATTTAAAATCTTTAATTGCTAGTTTTCAAAGTGAGGTAGTTGGTAGCCACTTTAAGTATAGACAAGTGAGTTTTTGGCTTTCCCTTTAAGTATTATTATGGATTCTTGGGTTTTCATAGATTGAACATGATTTGCCAAGTATAGTCACTATCTTGCTGGTCAGTCTTGCTTTTGGTGTCTTAAGATCTTTCCCATCCCAGGATCATAAACATATTCTTTCTTTTTGTGTTTTCTTCTAGTACTTTTAATTTGTTGTTCATTTTGTGGTAAGTGTTTAACCATCAGGGATTAATTTTTATACATTGTGCACATGATCAGTTTTCCTAATCCTGTGTTACTGTTTACATTATTATAGATTTAATTACAGATATGTTTTGATTGCTGTAACCCAATTTTCCTTTCTTTGTTGTTACTGGTTTTCAGCTGTCTTTTTACCATTTTATATGTTATTATATTACTTTATATTATTATATTTCTAGTTTTATTGTATTTTGGTGAGAGAAGGGTGACCAGTAAGTCTCAGCTTAGTCAAATTTATTAAGCTCATTTTTTGGTAAATAAATATAAATAAGATCTGTATTTGCTGACGTGAGGGAATATCCTTGATGTCTGATTAAGTGCAAAAGCATGTGAAGAGTAATGTGTACTGTATGATTCAATTTTATAAAAATAAACTAACAAAAATCAAAACAACCCCTGTATATGTATCTGTGTGAGCAAGAAGAAGGTCCTGACCAGGCTGCTAGTTTTGGTTATCACAGAAATGTGAAATTGGAGGAGGAATGGATTTCTCTTTTTAAAAGGAAAAAGTGTTACTTTTAGATTTAAAAAAATTGTGAAATATGTATATGTATGTATGTGTGTATGTATATATGTGTGTGTATGTATGTGTGTATATATATGTATATGAATGAAAAGAGCTTGGGAGACCATCTAGGGATGTAGCTTCTTCTCAAGCAGCTTTCACCTTGTAGTGCTTACTTTAGTCAGCTCCAATTCAAGAGCTGCCGTTTCCTATTGCTTTTAGGGATTCCATTATGTGTGTCAGGTTGGTTCTCAGTTTTCCCACTTGCTGGTCTGGCACTTCACTTATATTTAGGACTAGTCACCTAACTATTGGTCCATCTGCTTTCACCTTCCAAAATTCTGTTACCATCTCCTTTTCTGTTTTGCCTGACCTTGTTTGTTCACATCGGCAAAACAATTCATTTATTGTACTTTCAGTGGAATTTGAGAGGCAGCAAATTTTGCTAATTTAATAGGGAATTGGGTGCTAACAAAATGGTGGAAAGTGATGTCTGCTACATCTGCAGCAGTGAACACTGGATGGCTCACATCAAGCCTTTTTGCATCCACGACGCTAATTACGGAGTACTGGACAGTGTCAGGAAAACCCTGAGCCCCCATGACTGCCTGCTAGCCTGGGCACAGTCTGAGTTTAAGCTCTGATCTCCGGATCTCGCTTAAGTCCCTCTGACTTAAGCGAAAGTCCCGAAATCACTTTTGGGATTTGTAGCTGCAAGAGGTTTTAGGAGTCTTTTAGCTTTGCAAGAAGTCATACCAGTTTGAGGGCAAAATGGGTGTTGAGTGAACCAATCCGCAGTATCTTCCATCATAATCTGAGGATGATAAGTAGGAAGACTATTCATTTTCCAATAACACTTCAAAATTCACTTATGTATTGATACATCAGTGCCGGCCATAATTTCCTTGTTTTGACTTCTTCTTTTTAAACTGCTTTGTCAATATGATTTTTAATTTGTGAAATAGTTTAACTTTTTAATTTTTAAAATTGTGAAATATTTAAAATATTTAAACCCACAGAAGTACACAATGAAAACCCACGTACTCACCACCCAGTTTTATTGAATCTTTACATTGTACTATATTTGCAAGCAAACCTCCCCCCTGCAAAGTAATAAAACATTAGAGATAGAGAGCGAAAGTCTCTGCTCTCCCTCTGTCCTCAGTGGTGCTCTGAATTTGATGCTTAGTTATTCCTATGCATGTTTTCATACTACTGGTATTTACACGTGTAGACCTTAACAATATGTAGTACTGTTTTGCCAGTTTTCGCGGTTTATGTAAAGCCATCCTACTAAACATTCTAGAACTTGCATCTTGCTTAAAATGTTTTTACTATTTCTATTCTGATACATGAATTCTAGTTCACTCATTTTAACTGCTGTAGAATATTCCACTTTGTGAATAGGCCAAAATTTTATTAAACCGTTCATCTGTTGACAGACGTTTAAGTCATTAAGTGTGCTTCAGGAACATTCATGTATATGTTTTGCTATTTTAATTAACCATTGATATTATTGTCAATTGTCATACAGTAGTACAACGTTTCAGGTTAATGAACTTTTGGTTCTGATTTTGCAAAAATTATGTGGAACTCACGATATAGAAGCAGTTTAGGGGACATCAATCCTGAAATGAAGGGAGACCTTAAAGGAGTGACTTTCTGACTTTTGTGCAAAAGGCGTGAAGGTTGTTGCGATAGCTTTGGGATTTGGGAAACTGTTCCATCTTCTCTTCCTTAGTCATCCTCAAAAGGCAAGAAAGAGCCTTACTTTTGAAAGTATTTTCGATGATAAGAGTTTTACTACAATGAATCTTTCTATATGACAAGATATTTACCATCTGTTTATCTGTGTTCTTACTGTTTCAGACAGAGTATTGTTGCGGGATATAAAAGCTCTTACCCTCCACTATGACCGCTATACTACTTCCCGTAGGTTGGATCCGATCCCACAGTTGAAATGTGTTGGAGGCACAGCTGGATGTGATTCTTATACCCCCAAAGTCATACAGTGTCAGAACAAAGGCTGGGATGGTTATGATGTACAGGTAATACTCTTTATGTTGATGGAAGTCTAAATGGAATCCTTTTCAGTGAAGTGTTTATTAAGACATTATTCAGTATTTTGGGGAAGTACATATAGAAAATCTCTGGTTACCTAAAATATATAAATATAAATCAGTGATTCGGTCTCTGAAAGGAACATCCTCTGAAAGAAATGAACTGATTTTAAAGCCTGGAAATATTCATTGTAATCTTTATACCAAAACTTTCTCATAAAACATTAGTAAATTTTCAAAATTTTTCTTATACTTGGGGGTGGGGGGTAGAGGATTTCTTTTGATTGTCATTTCTCTGTCGTTCCTCAAAGAATACCAACCTATCCTTAAAAAATAAAGTTAAGATGATAAGGAATTGTAGATTGTAAGTGGGGGTGGGGTTCCTGTGTCCCTATTGTGCTTCAAATGCTTGATTTTAAAAAGTTGTTTTAGAGCTGAGGGTGGTTACTTACGAGTGAAAGCATTTCAGTGGGCTTCATTGTCTTCAGGTCTTTGGCATTTTGTACTTAGGATAGACCACCTCCTTGAAGTTCCAAAATTTGTTATCCTTTAGAAATGGAATAGATTTGAAGTAAATTCAGTTTAAATCAATACGAATAGATTTCGACTTCGTATTCTGCCTGCTTTCAGAAAGGATTTAAGATGGTTGGTCATTCGGCCAGAAACTTGCTTTGACAGTTTTCCCTTCCATCAGAGTGATATTCTTGTTTGATACAACCTTTGTGCCTAGTGTATGCAGTTCAGGGAGAGAGTTCATATTTGCTTGGTGATATGTATTTCACAACATTTTTTCCTAGTCTTGCTAACCAAATCACAGAATCTTCAGGTTAAAGCTGAAATTACTTTTACTTTTATATTACTTTTTAGTCTTGATGGAAAAAAGTCATTCATTAAACATACATTAAACAGTATTATACAAAAATGAATGATGGAGTCACAACCCTCAAGAAACTCTCTTCCTAGGAGAATAGATAAGACAAGCACTCACATTACATCTAGGTGCCAACAAAGTATTGTAAAGTCACGTCCAGCTTGGGGGATTGGGAAAGACTTGAAGAAGAAAGTATTATATGTACTGTGTTAGTAAGGAAGGATAACATTTTTAGAGCTGAAGAGATAGAGAAGGGAGTGAATGGCATGAGCAAAGAAGTATAGAGGATGTCATACATTGACTTATGTTTAGTAGCAGGAGAGAGCCTCTTCTAATTCCAAGAGTATAAATATAATAATTAGAAGCCACTTTTAGTATATGCTATTAAGAAAATGACAATTAACATGAAATACCGATAGACATTGAGTTTATTTACCTAAATCAACAAGCTTATAAGTCTTCCTCCAAACAAAATTATTTAAAAAATGGAATAGTGTAGAACAACAACAACAAAATAGAAAAATTGTATATTATCCAAATTAAAAACTTTTAGGCTTCAACAGACACCATCAAGAAAGCGAAAAGGACACACACAATAGGAGAAAGCTTTTGCAGTCATATATCTGATTGGGGACTTGTGTCCAGAGTATATGAAGAACTATTACAACTCAGTAAGAAGACATATAACCAAATTTAACAGTGGGTAAGGCATCTGACTAGACATTTCTCCAAAGAAGATATGCAGATGGCCAATAAACATGTGAAAAAATGTTCAGCATCATTAGCTGAAAAACTGTGCAGCATCAGGGAAATACAAATCAAAACCACAGTAAGACACCAGTTCCTACAACAGGATGCCTGTGATCAGAAAGGCTAGTAGCAGGTGTTGGTGCGGATGTGGAGAGACCCTCATACACTGCCATTAGGGATGTGAAACGGCGCAGCCACCTTGGAAAACGCGCAGTTTCTCAAAGGTTTAAACGTAGAGTTACTGAATGCCTAGTCATTCGACTCCTAGGTGTGTACCCAAGAGACTTGAAAATGTGTGTCCACACAGAAACATACTAAACGTTGTAGCAGCGTTATTCATAAAAGGCAAAAAGTAGAAACAACCCAAGCGTCCATCGTTGATGAATGAAGAAACAAAATGTGGTATATCCATACGATGGAATGTTATTTAGCCATAAAAAGGAATGAAGTGCTGATTTATGCTACAACACGTGTGAACCTTGAAAACATTCTGCCAGGTGAAAGAAGCCAGTCACGTAGGACCACGTATTGTATGATTCCGTTTACATGAAATGTCCAGAATAGGGGAATCCTTGCAGACAGATTGGTGGTTGCTTAGAGCTAAGAGACCTGGGGGGAAACAGGAAGTGACTGCTAAAGGAGATGAGATTTCTTTTGGGGGCGATGAAAATATTCTAAAATTGATTGTGATGATGGTTGCACAGCTCTGTGAATACACTAAAAACCATTGAAATGGGTGAGTGTCTAGTATGTGAATTATATCTGAATAAAGCTGATATAGTGTACCTGAAGTTTGAAAGAGGAAGATAATTTGTCCAAAAAAGAGAAAAGCGATAGAACCAATCAGATCTCTTTTGGCTTATATCTTTTTTAATGTTGATAGAGAAGCATATTACCTACTCAGCTCAAAGTAGTTATAGAATTCAAACTAGACCTGGGCTTTTTTTTTTATGCTGGAAAATTTTGAGGCTAGCATAGATTCTTTTTGCAGTTTTTCTAAATGTCTTTTTAAAAAAACTTAAGAAAATTACTTAATGGATTGGACCTTGGGGAAGGTAGTCCATGGTTTTTATAGAATTTGTGTAGGAAGTTTTTCTCAAAAGGTTGTATCAACAGCTACCAGATATTCATATATGATGCTGATATTTGAGCCTTAATGTTGAAAATTTTTAAAGAAAGCATTTTTAAAGAAAGCATCTTCAACAGTAGTTAAAAAGTTGACATTTAAAAAATTTGCTTAAAATTAATAAATTAGGGAATGCTTAATATATACAAAAGAATTCTTTACATCTATATGTAAGGAATAAGGAATAGTAATAAAATGAGCACTCATGTACCCACCACCTAGCTTAAGTAGAATGTTAATATCACCAGTATCTTGGAAGCCCCTGGTTTGCCCTCCCCCAGCACAGAAATACTCGTCCTGAATTATCATTCCCTCGCTTCATTTTGCTGTTTTATGACAGCTATTTAGCCCAAATAATATATATTAAATGAAAAAAAAATCTTTTGGTTCTAATAACCTGTTTCTACTTTTCTTCACAGTGGGAATGTAAGACCGATTTAGATATCGCGTACAAATTTGGAAAAACTGTGGTGAGCTGTGAAGGCTATGAATCCTCTGAAGACCAGTATGTACTGAGAGGTTCCTGTGGCTTGGAGTATCACTTAGATTACACGGAGCTTGGCCTGAAGAAATCGAGAGAGTCTGGAAAAAACCATGGCTTTAACTCTTTCTCTGATTATTATAATAAGCTGTACTCCCGAGAATCTTGTAGCATCAGTGGAGTGCTTACCATCGTGGTGCTACTTGCTATTGCCTTTGGAGTTTATAAATTCTTCCTTAGTAATGGTCATGATTCTCCTCCACCATATTCTGAGTATCCTCCATATTCTCATCGTTATCAGAGATTCACCAATTCTGAAGGACCCTCTCCTGCAGGCTTTAAGTCTGAGTTCACAGGTATGTTTTCCTAGGCAATGGCAGTAGGTAGGATAGAAGTCAGGTAGTGAATCCTGTGCTGGTTTCTGATATAGAAAATGGTTGCATTGGGAAACCAAAGCAGATTTGTCTTATTTTTTTACTTTCAACTTCTTTTACCTCTTCTGTTCTGTTTCTCTATAAGGTTAATTGTGATTACTATTTTAAGGATGCATGATTAAATTGCAAATCATCTCAATCAAACTTGATCAGATTTGGTAATAAGCATTTACCTTGAACTCTGTCTCGCAACACACATAAAATTTTATTCACTGAGTATTACAGAGGTCAACATAAAAGTAAAACAATTAAATTTCCAGAAGAAAACATAGGAAAATATTTGTCAGGGTAGGCAAAACTTTCTTAGAATGCAAAAAATACCAGTCAAAAAGAAAAGAGGGATAAATTAGACTTTATTTAAATTAAGAATGTCTAGTCATCAAAGACAACATTAAGAGAGTGAATAGGCGAGCCACAGACTGGGAGAAGGTATTTGTAAAACATATTTTCAACAAAGCACGTGTATTTACAGTACATAAAGAACTCCCACAAATCTGAGAAAAGACAGACAACCTAATTAAAAAAATGGACAGGGGATTTGAACAGCCATTTTATAGTAAAAGAAGATATCCAGATGTCCAATAAAAGTTTGAAAAGGTGTTCAGCATCATTAGTCTTCAGGAAAATGCAGATTAAAATCTGAGTTCTTAATTAACCACCATTTAATCATCTTAATGGCTAACATTAAAAAGACAGAGTACCAAGTAATGGCAAGGATGTAGTTAACTGGAACTTGCTGGAAGGAGTTAAAAGGATAAAACACTTTGGAAAACTGTCAGTATCTACTGAAACTAGACATACGCCATCCAATGACCCAGCAATTTCATTCCTAGATGCATACCTAAGAGAAATGCATGCATGTGTGTGCAAAAAGATCTGCACAAGAATGTTCACAGCAGCTGTATTCACAGCAGCCAAAAACTAGAAATAGAATGTCTGTAAACATTAGAATGAGACAAAGTGTTTTTTTTCACACATTGGACTACTTACTATACATAAATTTAGAAAAAAACAAAACCAAAACTGATATATGCAGTGGTGGAGGTCGACTCTCATGGACATAATGATACACCAGAAGAGTACCTCCGTATGATTCTATTTATAAAAAGTTCAAGAATGGGTAAAACCAAAGTGTGGTGAGAAAAGTCAGAGTCGGCTTCTCTCCGACATGGGTGGGTATCTATGGGGAGTTGTCGTGAGGGAGTCTCTGCGTGCTAGAAAGGTTTTACTGATGTGGGTAGTGATTACATGCATGGGTACATACATACAGATTTATTATGCTGTACATGTGGGATTAGCACAGTTCCCTTTATGTATATGATACAGCAATTTAAGAAAAACTTCCTCTGAGCAGAAGATATATATTTTTTTTGGTCCCTTGTAAGACCTGACTTCCCAACCAACAAATATCCTCCACTTGGATTCCTCCATTAGACACTCAGGTACAGCTCTCAACCTGGAGCTTCTAGACGTGTCCACACAGTAGAAAGGAAGTAGCTCTGACGCGTGGGGTCGTCTTCTAGTAGCTGATCTGGAGCAGGGCAGATGTGACCTTACGGGAAGAAACCACCCTCCCCTGCCTTAAAAACATATCCCTCCTTTTCCTTGTGTTTGGGAAAGGCAGGTGCTCCTTAGTTACAAACCAGTATTTTATTTTATTTTATTTATTTATTCATTTATTTATTTTTTGGCGGTATGCAGGCCTCTCACTGTTGTGGCTTCTCCCGTTGCGGAGCACAGGCTCCGGACGCGCAGGCTCAGCGGCCATGGCTCACGGGCCCAGCCGCTCCGCGGCATGTGGGATCTTCCCGGACCAGGGCATGAACCCGTGTCCCCTGCATCGGCAGGCAGACTCTCAACCACTGCGCCACCAGGGAAGCCCTAAACCAGTATTTTATAAATACACTTTTTGAATACACTTGTTTATAAGTTGAAGTATTATTATTTTTTATTTTTATTCTTTTTAAAAATTTATTTTTGGCTGCGTTGGGTCTTCGTTGCAGTGCGCAGGCTTTCTCTAGTTGCAGGCAGCAGGGGCTACTCTTCGTTGCAGTGCGCAGGCTTCTCATTGTGGTGGCTTCTCTTGTTGCGGAGCACAGGCTCTAGGCGTGTGGGCTTCAGTAGTTGCAGCATGCAGGCTCAGTAGCTGTGGCTCGCGGGCTCAGTAGTTGTGGCTCATGGGCTCAGTAGTTGTGGCTTGCGGGCTCTAGAGCATAGGCTCAGCAGTTGTGGTGCACAGGCTTAGTTGCTCCTTGGCACGTGGGATCTTCCTGGACCAGGGCTCGAACCCTGGTCCCCTGCATTGGCAGGCGGATTCTTAACCACTGTGCCACCAGGGAAGTCCCCTGAGTATTATTATTAAAGCATACAGATGAAACAATTGAAATGTCATATTATCTTTAGTTCTGTAGACTATGGTTTAAGAGAGAATACATAATCATTTTTATTTTTAGGACCGCATGGTGCAACTTCTGGTTTTGGCAGTGCTTTCACTGGACAACAAGGACATGAAAATTCAGGACCAGGGTTCTGGACTGGCTTGGGAACTGGAGGAATATTAGGATATTTGTTTGGCAGCAATAGGTAAGCTTTGCATTTATCTCACCTGCTCTTTAATTCAGCCTTTCTTTAGAGGCTTCTTTGTTTTACTTACAATTTGACTGGATTTGTTTTGTTAAGGAAAATAAATTATGGTGACATTACCCTATTAAATCAGATTCTCTGGGGATGGGAAAGAATGCCATCTGTGCTTTGATCAATATCATATGTGTTGTTTTCTTTCACATGTCATGCTTATAGATCTGAGTTAGAAGCAAGACTGTTGACTCGACATCTGAGAAGGCAGGAAAGAACACAACATTTGGGGCACAGTTGGCATTCTGGTTTGGTTGGAGAATGATAGAAGCAAGGGTGGAAAGAGCTTGTGACCAGATTTTGGAATGTCTTCAGTTTAAATAGTAGTTTAAGTTTAGATTGTATTTGAATGCGAATTCAGAAAGAAAGAACCTTTATTCCCTGTCATTTTCTTTCCTCATAGCAATGACCATAAGAATGGCAGAAATATAAAACAGTGTTTATGTTAATCCTAATATACCAGAACACTGAGGAAAAAACACTTGATAAAAATTGTTTTCTGATGGTTTAGGAATAGGAGGGTATTTAAAAATCATAGTCACAAGAAAAATGCCTGACACACTTTTGTCTTTATAGAGCAGCAACACCCTTTTCTGACTCGTGGTACCACCCATCCTCATACTCCAGCTCGTGGAATAGGCGTGCTTATTCACCACTTCGTGGAGACCCAGGAAGCTATTCAGCGTGTTCAAGCTCAGAGCCAAAAAGCAGAACAGCGTCAGGTGAGAGCAAAAAATCAAGAAGTTCCTATTCAGTGAAGTACAGAAACAACTTGGAACCTAGATGATTAACTATACATTTAGCAGTCATGGTTTTATGTGGTATACTCACCAGAAATATTAGTTGCACAATTAACTGAGATTAAAATATAATTCAGATCTATTCTTTCCTCCCACTTCTGTTCTTTAAAACTCAAACAGAAATTTGGTTTAGATTCATGTCTGTCACTAACCAAGGTTTTAACTTAAACCTTCCTGGACGTTGGTTTCCATGTATGTTTAATTCTGGTTAATCTCTAGGGGTCCTTTAAGCTCTAAAATGGGAATTTTCTAGGTAGAAGGTTGAACTTTTCAGTTTGGTAGAACTCAATAAAAATGTATTGAGCCATTATTTAAATCATTGTCAAAAATATGTTTATTGCAAGTGACTAAGAGGAAATTTTGTAAAGAAGCAGAGATAAAATTGAGTTAATATTCATACAGTGGAATACTGTGCAGCAGTAAGAATAAGTAAATAGTTGTATGCGATAATGTGGATAAATTTATCAGATGTAAAGAAAGAAGCCAGACACACAAGAATATGTACAATATAATTGCAACATTCATGTTTTATAAATATACATGTTTAAAAACAAGCAAAACTAATCTGTGGTGTTACATGTTAAGATAGTGGTTGCTTTGGGGGAGAAAAAGAAGTGGTAATAATTGAGAAGATATATAAAGATATAACTACGTAGGACATAATGTGACAAAAGGAACCACATTCTCAGAAACAAGAATTGTAAGAAACTGTATATATCAACTAGAAATGTATGGGACTTAGGTGAAGAAAATCATAAGACATTACCAAATAACCTACAGGAAGATCTGAGAAAAATTGAGTTTCCAGATGGGAACACTGTGGTCTTGTAACCTGTCTGTTAGCATGTTTGCATCTTGGGGGAGCTGGGGGTGCCTAGGTAACCTTTACCATCAAAAGTCCGTGACCCTCCCCCATGTTACTTCTATTTACCGCTGGAGTCGTGAGAGGTAGCAGGGCCTGGCTTAGGCTCCACTGGCCTCTCTGCTGTTTGGCTCAGACTTCGGGTCTTGCCTGTACCACGCTGGCCCCAGCACAGAACACATCTTTGGTCTCCTGACTAAAAGTTATTGCCAGCAAGCGTGTGTGTGTTTAGCAGACTTGATGCTGATTGGATGGCTGGAAGGGCTCTTGTGGGGAGTTGATGCACTGAGTCCTGCAGCCCTGGTCCACAAGTTCATTCTCTCCTTCTTCCCTCGTGGCTCGTATCATTTGCTAACAATAAACGTGTATTACTGTTGTAATTTTATAAGCAATTCTAATGCATTTTAAAAAACTAATATAAAATTTACTCTTCTCATTCTAGGATATGGTGGTACCAGAAGACGATAAGAAAGTAAAAAGTTGGGATCAAACACTGGATGCAAAACTTCTGATTTTTCATCACTTTCTCTTATAAAACGTGCCCCTTGCTAACAGCTGGGGAAAGAGAATATGCAAAAGTTCTGTGGTGTTTTGTCCTGTATAGCTTTTTGTGTTCTGTTATTTGAGGCTAGGGGTTGACATGACAAAATGCTTATCTAGAGAATCATGTTTGTGTAACATGCAGATGTATATTATAGTTTTTGAAAGTGATGACTACTGTAGAATGCTGAGAATGTATTGTGTGATTTCTGACACCTGTGATGCCATAAGAAGCATTAAGAATGAAGGCTTTATACCATTAGACACTGAGTACAGAAATTTTCAGTCTTAGGTGGTTTTAGTTGTTGATTCATTACATCATAGAAGCGATAATAATCTATTTGGTATGTGTTATTGGGTGTTTGCTGTTCTTCAAACATTTAAACCAAACTTTGGACTACTAATTATACTTCCTTGTGTGTTTTGATCACTTCTGAGCTCAGGAGCTTTGAACCTGTCAGTGGTGTGTGGGGTTCTGGTAAGTGAGAACTACCTTTTTAGGAAAAGGTAGAAAATAAGTATCTAGAAGGTTATTTTGAATGGCAGTGTGCTGACAAAAATGCTTGAAGCCTCCGTATTCATTTTTTTAAGAAGTAAAGTTCAAGTGCTTCAGCAAAGGTTTTCTAATAACAGAAGCATGTAGTTCTCTGTGGAATCTCAGATGTTGTAGCAGTCTGTGTCAGTCTTACATTAAAATGACAGAAAAAATAAAAACAAACAAAGGGTTTTATTCTTTCTTTCTACCAGCCTTGACACAAATTGGTGTTACTTTTTTACCTTTTTTTTTTCCAAAGGAAAGGGGGTTCATGCAGAAGTTCTCTCTCCCTAAACAATAATTTCCTGTGGTAGTCTTGCCTTAGCTCCAGGTCACACAAAAAACCTAAATTCAGGAATTCCCAGTTATGCTCATTAAACTTCATTATTCTGCTAGGAAAGACAAGAACAGATTTGTGTTGTTATTATCACTACATATACTACTAATTCTTTTTATTTATTTATTTATTTTCTTTTACTGAAGTATAGTTGCTGTAAAATATATGTTACAGATGTACAATATAGTGATTCACAATTTTTTTTTTTTTTTTTTTGCGGTGCGCGGGCCTCTCACTGTTGTGGCCTCTCCCATCGCAGAGCACAGGCTCCGGACGCACAGGCTCAGCGGCCATGGCTCACGGGCCCAGCCACTCCATGGCATGTGGGATCTTCCCGGACCGGGGCACGAACCTGCGTCCCCTGCATCGGCAGGCGGACTCTCAACCACTGTGCCACCAAGGAAGCCCAATGATTCACAATTTTTATATGTTTTAGTCCACTTATAGGTATTATAAAATATTGGTTTTATTCCCTGTGTTGTACAATATATCCTTGTAGCTTATTTTGTACCTAATAGTTTGTACCTCTTAATTCCCTACCCCTATATTACCCCTCTATCTCTCCTCTCTCCACTAGTAACCACTATTTTGTTCTCTATATCTGTGTAGATACTAATTCTTATACCTACAGTAGTCATTGTACCTTAACCAATGGGTTTCAGGATTCTTGCTTGCTTTTCTTTTTGTTTTGGCTGCACTGCCCACTGGACTGCCAGGGAATTCCCCCAGGATTCTTGCTTTCTTGAAAATTAAGGGTAATTTTGGAGAGCAATGCCAGCTTGTATTTTCCCTGACATAGAACTGCTCATGGTGGCATGCACAAGTATCTGGCTTGGTGACCTTTTGACATCAGAGGGCTGAAAACTCCACCTTCAGATCCTGTTAAGTGCCTGCATTTTTGAAACTAGAGGCCTGTAGCGTAGTCACACCTATGCAGAATGGGATAAATTGCCCAGCAAAGAAAAACCCAAGATACCAGTCAGATTTTTACCACAGTTATCTATGCTGTGTGGCTGACAGGGTCTTGGTGCTCTGGCCGGGTGTCAGGCCTGAGCCTCTGAGGTGTGAGAGCCGGGTTCAGGATATTGGACCACCAGAGACCTCCTGGCCCCATGTAATATTGGTGAGAGCTCTCCCAGAGATCTCTGTCTCAATGCTAAGACCCAGCTCCACTCAATGACCAGCAAGCTCCAGTGCTGGACACCCCATGCCAAACAACTGGCAAGACAGGAACACAACCCCACCCATTAGCAGAGAGGCTGCCTAAAATGATAATGAGTTCACAGACACCCCAGAACACACCACTGGACACGGTCCTGCCCACCAGAAAGACAAGATCCAGCCTTACCCACCAGAACACAGGCACCAGTCCCATCCACCAGGAAGCCTACACAACCCACTGAACCAACCTTACCCACTGGGGGCAGACACCAAAAACGATGGGAACTACAAACCTGCAGCCAGAGAAAAGGAGACCCCAGACACAGTAAGTGAAGCAAAATGGGAAGACAGAAATATGCAGCAGATGAAGGAACAAGGTAAAAACCCACCAGACCAAACAAATGAAGAGGAAATAGGCAGTCTACCTGAAAAAAAATTCAGAGTAATGATAATAAAGATGATCCAAAGTCTTGGAAACAGAATGGAGAAAATACAAGAGAATGGAGAAAATACAAGAAATGTTTAACAAAGACCTAGAAGAACTAAAGGGCAAACAAATGATGAACAACACAATAAATGAAATTAAAAATTCTCTAGAAGGAATCAATAGCAGAATAACTGAGGCAGAAAGACAGATAAGTGACCTGGAAGATAAAACAGTGGAAATAACTACTGCAGAGCAGAATAAAGAAAAAAGAATGAAAAGAATTGACACTCTCAGAGACCTCTGGAACAACATTAAACACACCAACATTCAAATTATAGGGGTCCCAGAAGAAAAGAAAAAGAAAGGGACTGAGAAAATATTTGAAGACATTATAGTTGAAAACTTCCCTAATATGGGAAAGGAAATAATCAAGTCCAGGAAGCACAGAGAGTCCCATGCAGGATAAATCCAAGGAGAAGCACACCAACACATATTAATCAAACTATCAAAAATTAAATACAAAGAAAAAAAAAGCAAGGGAAAACCAACAAATAACGTACAAGGGAATCCCCATAAGGTTAACAGCTGATCTTTCAGCAGGAACTCTGCAAGCCAAGGGTTTGGCAGGACATATTTAAAGTGATGAAAGGGAAAAACCAAGATGATCAGCAAGGATCTCATTCAGATTCGACAGAGAAATTAAAACCTTTACAGACAAGCAAAAGCTAAGAGTATTCAGCGCCACCAAACCAGCTCTACAAAAAATGCTAAAGGAACTTCTCTACACAGGAAACACAAGAGAAGGAAAGACCTAAAATAACAAACCCAAAACAATTAAGAAAATGGTAATAGGAACATATCGATAATTACCTTAAATGTAAATGGGTTAAATGCTCCCACCAAAAGACATAAACGGGCTGAAAGTATACAAAACAAGACCCGTATATATATTGCCTACAAGAGACCCACTTCAGACCTAGGGACACATACAGACTGAAAGTGAGGGGATGGAAAAAGATATTCGATGCAAATGGAAATCAAAAGAAAGCTGGAGTGACAATTCTTGTATCAGATGAAATAGACTGTAAAATAAAGGCTATTACAAGAGACAAAGAAGGACACTACATATTGATCAAGGCATCAATCCAAGAAGAAGATATAACAATTGTAAATATTTATGCACGCAACATAGGAGCACCTCAATACATAAGGCAAATGCTAACAGCCATAAAAGGGGAAATCGACAGTAACACAATCATAGTAGGGAATGTTAACACCCCAGTTTCATCAATGGACAGCTCATCCAAAATGAAAATAAGTAAGGAAACACAAGCTTTTAAAGGATACATTAAACAAGATGGACTTAATTGATATTTATAGGATGTTCCATCCCCAAACAATAATACACTTTCTTCTCAAGTGCTCATGGAACATTCTCCAGGATAGATCATACCTTGGGTCACAAATCAAGCCTTGGTAAATTTAAGAAAATTGAAATTGTATCAAGTATCTTTTCCGACCACAATGCTATGAGACTAGATATCATTACAGGAAAAAAATCTGTAAAAAATACAAACACATGGAGGCTAAACAATACACTACTTAGTAACCAAGAGATCACTGAAGAAATCTAAAAATACCTAGAAACAAATGACAATGAAAACACGACGACCCAAAACCTATGGGATGCCTCAAAAGCAGTTCTAAGAGGGAAGCTTATAGCAATACAATCTTACCTGAAGAAACAAGAAACATCTCAAATAAACAACCTAACCTTACACCTAAAGCAATTAGAGAAAGAAGAACAAAAAAACCCCCAAAGTTAGCAGAAGGAAAGAAATCATAAAGATCAGATCAGAAATAAATGAAAAAGAAATGAAGGAAATGATAGCAAAGATCAATAAAATTAAAGCTGGTTCTTTGAGAAGATAAACAAAATTGATAAACCATTAGCCAGACTCATCAAGAAAAAAAAGGGAGAAGACTCAAATCAATAGAATTAGAAAGGAAAAAGGAGAAGTAACAACTGACACTGCAGAAATACAGAGGATCATGAGAGATTACTACAAGCAACTCTATGCCAATAAAATGGACAACCTGGAAGAAATGGACAAATTCTTAGAAAAGCACAACCTTCCAAGACTGAACCAGGAAGAAATAGAAAATATAAATAGACCAATCACAAGCACTGACATTGAAACTGTGATTAAAAATCTTCCAACAAACAAAAGCCCAGGACCAGATGGATTCACAGGCGAATTGTATCAAAAATTTGGAGAAGAGCTAACACCTATCCTTCTCAAACTCTTCCAAACTATAGCAGAGGGAGGAACACTCCTAAACTCATTCTATGAGGCCACCATCACCCTGATACCAAAACCAGACAAAGATGTTACAAAAAAGGAAAACTACAGGCCAATATCACTGATGAACGTAGATGTAAAAATCCTCAACAGAATACTAGCAAACAGAATCCAGCAGCACATTAAAAGAATCATACACCATGATCAAGTGGGGTTTATCCCAGGAATGCAAGTTATCTTCAATATATGTAAATCAATCAATGTGATACACCATATTAACAAATTGAAGGATAATAACCATATGATCATCTCAACAGATGAAGAAAAAGCTTTCGACAGAAATCAACACCCATTTATGATAAAAACTCTCCAGAAGGTGGGCATAGAGGGAACATACCTCAACATAATAAAGGCCATATATGACAAACCCACAGCCAATATTCTCAATGGTGAAAAATTGAAACCATTTCCACTAAGATCAGGAACAAGGCAAGGTTGCCCACTCTCACCACTATTATTCAACATAGTTTTGGACATTTTAGCCACAGCAGTCAGAGAAGAAAAAGAAATAAAAGGAATCTAAATCGGAAAAGAAGAAGTAAAACTGACACTTTGCAGATGACATGACACTATACATAGAGAATCCTAAAGATGCTACCAGAAAACTGCTAGAGCTAATCAATGAATTTGGTAAAGTAGCAGGATACAAAATTAATGCACAGAAATCTCTTGCATTCCTATGCACTAATGACGAAAAATCTGAAAGAGAAATTAAGGAAACACTCCCACTTACCATTGCAACAAAAAGAATAAAATACCTAGGAATAAACCTAACTAAGGAGATGAAATACCTTTATGGCAGAAAACTGTAAGACACTGCTGAAAGAAATTAAAGATGATACAAACAGATAGAGAGATATACCATGTCTTGGATTGGAAGAATCAACATTGTGAAAAATGACTGTACTACCCAAAGCAAT